GGAAACATTTTCTCCCTCATTTGGAGACTTTCTACAGAGTGGTCAGCCCAGTTGGTTCCCACTGGGCTTCACAACTGCCATGCAGTGTTTCCTGACAGTGACTGATGGTCCTGCCTATTGGGTACAAGCCTGCTTCGGCAACTTCTGCATCCACCCTGGCACTCCCAGGCTGGAGTCCACAGATCTGCCCCCCAGAGTTCCATGGAGACACATTATGCGCTCTTCCCTGACCCTTCTCTGCACTGAACCATGGGGCCATTCCTTTTGCTGCCTGTGAGCTGGCCAGCACCCTGCTCAGTGAGCAAACTGAACAGGACCTGAAATGGTCCCAGGCTGGGTGACTTTCCCTGGTCATTGACCCTCTCTGGGCACCAGCCTTTAGAGGGAGGTTCCTATGGAATTCAGTAATCACCTTGAATTTCTCTGTGCCAGGTACCAGCTAGACTGTGGATCAGTCATGAGATAGTCTGGGAACTCTGGGAGCCCCAAACAGTTTCCTTAAACCTTGACTGTTGTCGGGGGAAGCCTGTGAGTGGGGAGGGCTAGCTCTGGGTAGCTCTTCTGGCCTTAATTCCCTATTTCATTAAAAAAATTCTATTTTTTCATTTTATGTGGATGAGTGTTTTGCCTGCATGTTTGTAAGTACACTATGTGCACGTAGTACCCACAGAGGCCAGAAGAAGGCGTCAGATTCCCCTGGAACTGGAATTAAGGATGGGTGTTACCATCGTGTGGGTGCTGGGAACCAAACCCAGGTCCTCTGCAAGAGCAACCAGTGCTCTTAACCACTGAGCCATCTCTCCAGCTCCTCGGTTCCTTATTTTTAAAAGGGGCTAATGCTATCTAGCCTATAAAATACTGGAAGAGATTAAATTATGAAGTAAAAACAGGAGAGTGCTTAGAGACCAAAAGAGAGAAGGGTGATGTGTGGATTCAGTTTGTGTCCTCGGGCACTTCTCTGGTTTCATTTTCACTTATGCTTCTTGGGAGCAGAATTCCTAGAAAGAGAATTACCACGTCTTGAAGATTCTTGAAATACATTGCAAAAGCCATCCTCAGAGCCCTTCAACCTGTCTGCACCCTGACTCCCCAGTGCATCAAAACACCGGCGTGTCTTAACCTTCTGTTTAACCCGGGGGCTGCTTCCAACAGCTCTCAGTAAAAAAGTCAGATAGTGTTTCATCTTCGCTCCTTCTTCCACAACTACCTAAGACCTAAGTAGTTACTATTTTTATTTTTAGCTTTTCTTTCTTTGAAATGCAAAGCTGCCCCATGTATCTAAAGCTGGCCTTGAGCTCTTGATCCCCTGCCTCCACCTCCCAAGTGGTGGGATTATAGGCCTGTACAACCAGCCTGTATTATGTTTTTGTTTTTAGCTTTTTTTTTGATCTTTTTGAGACAGGGTCTTCCTGTAGCCCCAGCTGTCCTGGAACTCACTGTGTAGACCAAGATGGCCTTGAACTCACAGAGATCCACCTGCCTCTGCCTCCCGAGCACTGGGATTAAAGGCCTGCGCCACCACGCCCGGCAGTGTTAGAAACATTTTAAAGCCTCCCCTCTAATTATTGTAAAACACTCAATAAGTTGTTGTTGACTGTGGCCACCTTTCAGTGCTGTAAAGAACTAGAAACCATCTCTCTTGTGGAGTTGTAACTTTGCACCCATGCCTGCTGTCCTCTCCTCCCAAATCTTCTGGGCCTCCCAACTTCTGTGAGATCAGCTGTTTAGCACATTTGCTGTCTGTGCCTGGCTTATTTACTCAACGTAACATTCTACAGGCTCTTTCTGTTACTACAAATGACAGGATTTCCTTCTTTTTCATGACTGGATAGTATTCTACCACGCACATTTTTCATGTTTTCTTCATTCATCCATCAGTGGACACCAAGGCTGTTTCTGTATCTTGGCCATGGTGACGAGTTCTACAATAAACATAGGACACACTTCTTTCCTTTTCTTTGGTTATACATGCCCAGGAGCAGTGTAGCTGGGTCTCGTGGGGTTCTTTTTTTTTAGGACTCTCTGTGCTGTTCCTCACAGTGGCCACACTGATTTTCATTCCCACAGTCAGGCTAAATGTCCCCTCTCTCAGCATCCTCAGCAGAGCTATTACCTCCTGCCCTTCGGATGCTCAGTGATGCTCAGCACGGATTCCTGTACCCCAGTTTTGTCTACTTTCGAGAAATGAGAATTCTGATCACTTCTATTTTGAATTTTAAGTATTTTTAAGGTATCTGTGTTTTCTTGGGTGGTAGCTTGCTTACCAGCTTTCAGACCCGCAGTCTGTGTGTTTCTCTTCTTGACTCCATTTTTATTTTTGCTTCCTGGTCATATGTTGGAGTGACTGCATTTTCTTTCATATATACTTCTTAATATACTGATTTGCAGTCGATTCGTGTTCTTCTGATAGTTGACCAGAGAATTTTCAGTATACTTACTTAGAAGTTTATTTTTATTATGTCACAAAGAAAGGAAACAAGATTCTATATTATCCATCTAAATTCGAGAAAACAGCCAGCCAGGTTTGTACTTCTCTCTGTCCCCCCGCCCTGCTCCTGTCATCTGATGTTTAATTGCTAGTTCAAGCATTTTTATTTTGCAGTACTTACCTAGCCACTTAACCATGCTTTGCTAATTGTTCCCTGTTGCCTTTAAGCCCTTCTCCTTCATAGTTCATTTTTCTTACTACCTGAGATTTTTCTCTAAAACTCTTTCAGAGATGGTTTTGTGGTAGAAAGTGTTTTTGTGCCTGCACATATGTGAATTCCCCCCATGTCATGCATTGCAGCGGAGCTCAGAAGAGGGCTTCGGAGTCCCCTGGAACTGGAGTTAAGGACGGTTCGTAGCTGCCATGTGGGTGTTGGGAATTGAACCCAGGTTCTCTGCAAGAGCAGTCAGTGCTCCCAACCACTGAGCCATCTCTCTAGCCCTTGTGCTTGTTTTTATAAAAATATATTTAATACATTACTAAATGTAATACTACATATTAAAAATATTTAGTATATGTATTTTTTTAAAAAATAAACGCAGACATAATACTTAAAACCCTGCATTCAGGATTAACAGAATGTTTTGCTAATCCCTTCACTCAAGGCTGATTTTTCCTCTTCTGTGTCCCTCAGATGTTTCCTGCAGACTCTTCCCTCTAGAATTTACTTTTCAGAAGGTCTGTGTTTCCTCGAGTTCCTCAGGAGTAAAGGAATAACAGGCTTCCCTGAATCTCGGGTTTTCTCTGGGGTTGCCTTTCCTCCAGTGCCCACACTGGTGACTGTGCCCATCTCTGATTGAGGGTTCCGTGTGGCCATCTGCTGGGAGGGGGTGTGACTGCTGCCAGTGGGCAGTGGAGGGTGTCCTGCTAGTGGGGCACTTCAGCAGCTGGGCTTTCAGGCTCCTGGCTCCTCCAGAGCGCTGCTTCTGATGTGGCCAGTGCCCCTCTGTGTGTGACCCACATACTCTGCTCATGGAGCAGTAAACTCCTTGTCCCTGGCTGCTCGGCAGGGGAGGGACACCGGACAGAGTGTCCTGTTTTCTTGCTCTCTGTGTAAGAAAGACCCCACTTCACCATGCTGTGCTGTTTCCAGTTGCACTCTGTCCTGCTTCTTATGACGATTGACTGATTGATTGTGTATGGTGTGTGTGTGTGTGCATATATCATGGTATACATGTGAAGATCAGAGGACAACTTTTGAGAGTCAGTTCTTTCCTTCCACCTTGTGGGTCCTGGGGAGTGAACTCAGGTCATCAGACTTAGTGGCAGGCACCTTTACGGCTAAGCCATCTCGCTGGCCCAGTTCCCGCTGCTGTGCTGTAGGTGTGGAGTGCAGCCATGTGTGCCTACAGTCTGGTCATGCTGGCTGTGGCTTTTTCTCTTTTTCCCAGATGCTCTCCATCGTTCAGGAACCTCTAATGCTGTGTCCCTAGCAGAGCCCTTCTTGCTTTCAAGTATGGCACCCGTTGTCCTCTCTGTCCCTCCCTTCCACTTCTGGGGTTTTGTATAGGATGAAGACTGATAAATGGGCTCAGCTTACCTTCCAAAGAGCTGAAGTTTGACTTATACTTCTGTCACATTTCTGACAGCCTGACGCTTCCACCCACCCCCCAACACTTCCCGAATATATATTCATGGTGAGACAATACCATGGGGCGGGGAGAGGGATCAAGAATTCCTGTCATGCTCCTGACTCTTCCCTGAGACTCTGAGGGAACATCAGTCACAGACTCGGGGTGGGGTGGAGGGGAGGACAGGAGGGAGCTACCTGGGCATGCAGGAGTTGGGAACTGCAGGAACAAAGATCAGAGAGGTGACAGGGTGGGCCATGTTGGTGCCCTGGAGTCAGGGAAGCAGAAGCTATGTGTGATAAACCCCAAGAAAGGAAGGAATCACTTGCAAAGTGTTTGCAAACTGCTGCCATGCGGTTCAGACTTGAGACCTCCCCCTGACCCCAGCCCTGCCCTGCACCTTGGGGACAAAGTTTGTAGTGTGTAGTTTGGGGGACAGAGTTTGTAGTGTGTAGTTTGAGGGCCTCCCCACTGCCCCAGCTGCTCCCTGGTGCTTTTGACCTTGGCCATGGAAAACCAGGTCCACAGACTTACTTCCTGGCCCTTCCCTTAGCCCTTCCAAGGCTCTGGGGTCTGGGAAAGACTCTAGTTAAGTGTTTTCATGGTTATCAGTTGTCCTTAAAATGTGAAAAAGTCAAGAACTTTTTAGTTTTCTTTAAAAAGAACACCTCACAGAACTCTACCCCAGACTGTGTCATCACAAAGTAGAGGTCTTAGTTCCAATAGCCAGGGAAGCTGGACAGCAAAAGTGATGCAAGAAGATTAATCCACTTGGGAAGACACACCATGGGTGAACAGGCCAGGCTCTGAGCAAACAAATCAGGAAGAGCAGATGGTCCTGGTGGGCCACAAGCTAAACTCCTGATAGCAATGCTCCAGGCTGAAGTCAATGGCTGTCACAGTGACCAACAATGTGAACTTGATTTGTGACTATTTTTCAGGATTGGGCAGCTAAATGTCACCTGTTCCAGCTCAGTGGACACAGAAGTCTTCCTCCATTACTCCCTCATCCCATCAGTAAGTAAAGGCTGGGGAGAGTGAGGAGAGGAGTTGGGGGGTGGGCTGCTCCACCTCACAGGCTTCTTCTGAACAGGCCTTCATAGGTCAAGGGACAGGCCAGCTGGGTTTCCTTCCAGAGAGGTTAGATGGGAACTATGTCTGTGAAGGGCAGAACCTTCTGGTAGTAGCTCTGGACTACATGGTGTTTGAGGTGTTGAGGGTGATCCAAGCACTCCACTTGCCCATACATTCTCTTCTCAAGGATGCTGAGGCCATCCTTGGGGGTGACTGAGCCCCTGATAACACTCTTTTCTTCTCACAGCTCTTCATCATCTTGGTATTGTCTTTCCTGCAAAGACGAGGGCATCGTAGGCAAAGAGACGGCATGTTCCATCTCCTGGGGAACCACTTTGGAGTCATCATGTGAGTTGAATCAGGGCCATTTCCTATAGCTTGGGGGACTGTGTGGTTGGGGCCAACGTGAGTACAAGGACGGGTAGCTCCCAGGATCTGTGCCTTTCCCTTCAGTGCTGGATAGCTTCAAGTGTCAACTTGGCACACCTGGGAAGAGGGAATCTCAATTAAGGAGTTACCTCTATCAGACTGGGCTGTTGGCAAACCTGTGAGGCATTTTGTAGATTGTTGAGTGATGTGGGAGGGCCCCAGCCCACTGTGGGTGGTGCCACCCTTAGGCAGGAGGTCCTGGGTTGTGTAACAAAGCACAGGCCAGAGGGGCAAACCAGTAAGCAGTGTTCCTCCATGGTGTCTGCTTCAGCTCCTGCCTCCAGGTTCCTGCCCTGACTTCCCTCAGTGACAGACTGTCACTTAGAGAAGTAAGATGAAGTAAACTTTTCCTCCCCAAATTGGTTTTGGTCAGTGTTTTATCACAGCTAACTGTGATAGAAAAGCTAACTAAGACACCTCCCCTACCTGAAAAACTCAAGAAGTCAGAGCCAGCTTCCAGGTCACTGCAACCTCAGGGTCCAGGGCTGCCCAGATAGGAAGAAAACCTTTCAAGGAGATACAGACCACCATGGAAAAAAGACTTTCCATGTAAGTTACTTTCTCATTACTGTGACAAAAATACCCGACAGCCACAACTTAAGGGAACGGAGGTTTATTTTGCCTCAGTGTTTCATGGAGCTTGGTCTATCACAGTGGGGGAGGGCATGGAGGCTGGAGCAGCCTGGTTGTGGCAGGGGAAGCAGAGTGGAGCTCCTCACAAGGTGGCTGGATCAAGAATCAGGGCTGGGCTACAACTTTCAAAGGCCCACCCCTACTGCCTTATTTCAGCCAAGCCAGGCCTCCTTGCTTAAAGCCCACAACCTCCCCAACCCACACCATTAGCTGGGGAACAAGCGTTCAAGCACACAAGCTTGAGGGCAATATTTTACATTCAGAACAGAACAACCTTTTCATATGGGGACTGTGGCCACCCCAAGAAACAGACAGAAGTAAGCTCCTCTCAGTGACTGGAAGCAGCTGCCCTTCTTGGGATGGAATTGGGAGCCGTGTGCCAATCCTGCCCAACCAGGGGAGCTTCAAGGGTCTTCCTAGCTCTGTACCACTGCACCCCTTAGTGCATTTTTTTGAGTTGTAATTATTCTGTCCCATGACTCCATCAGTATCATTGGCATTATCTTCTTCCTCATCACCATCATCACTGTGCAGTTAGCATTTATTGCATGACACTTTTCACTGAGCCAGTCCTGAGCCATTTGCCTTGCTTGTATTAGTTCCAGAAACCTTCTTGCCAAGCATGTGGAGGCTGGTATATGGTACACACAGATGAGAAACTCATGGTCAGAGGTTAAATGATTTGCCCAAGGCCACACAGCTAACAGGGGACAAGAACTGCAACCTAGACTGGTTTTATTTTTCTCTCTGATCTCCTGTGTCATAATGTGAGCAGACCCTGTGGTGTTACACTGCCAACATTACAATTATAAAAAGTCTGACTCTTAAATGTAGTTTTTAAGAGTGGGCCTGAACTCGGAGGACACTCATTCCTCTAGATCTCTTAGAACCATCTATCTCCTGGAACTACCTAGAGTCAGCCAGGCCCCACCTATGATTTTATTTAAAATGGTTTCTACTGCTTCAAATTGGGGAAGTTCAAGCTTGGATCCACCCTTATTTTAACAGACCACTCAGCCTTTCCATCCCTAGTTCTAGAATATCTCATTCGTCCAAGGTCACACATCTTCCCCAATCTCTGCCGTTGCAGTGAAGATGGGTGCACCATCTTTCAGTGCTTTGATAGTTAATTCCCAAGCATACCCACATTCATTATCTTTTTGGGTGGGGCAACAAATTGAGGTTGCCAAGAAAATAAGATCAGGTGCTTAGGTCACAAGACGCAGAGCACATGATTTTGCTGGGGTTAATTAAAGGTCATTAGTACAGATTATGTCCATTTTATAAAAGTCATTCCTACAAGACCCAAGCTATGGATGTCCTGGGATCTCAGCCAGGGCTCTGGGGGAGGGAGAGGAAGCGATGGTATCAGGATTGAGGCTAAGGATGAACTGGGAGGCAAGATGTCTAACAACAATGCCCAAGGACACTGGAGGGCCAGCTCTGAGGAGCAGCTGCCTTCCTTCTGGATGCTCCTCTCTGGGACAGTCAGCCCCTCCCACATCATCAGGTGTAAGCTATGTTGTTAGGGATCAAGGGCTGAAACTGGCTGTGGTAGTTACTTGTTGCTATAAGCAAATGCCTGGCAAGAAGCAGTGTAAAGAAGGAAGGGTTTATTCTGGTTCGTAGTTTGAGAAGGGGTACAGTCCATCATGGGGAAAACATGGTGGCGGGGTGCAACTTAGTTGGTCACATTGCATCTTGCAGTCAGAAAGTAGAGAGAGATGAAAGTTTGATCTCCATTCACTTTCTCCTTCAGTCCAAGATGGCAGTCTATGGGATGATGTTACCCACATTCAGGGTGAGTTGGCTAGGCCTTTCTAGAAATACCCTTATAGCAATACCCAGAAGCATGCTTCCGTGGTGATTCTTAACCTCATCAAGCTGACATTTATGATGAACTATCACATGGATGCATAAAGATCCTTTGACCCCAGACTGGACATACGTCATGAAAGGACTGGGATGGGACTCGTAAGTGGGCATTCCACAGTCACCACATTCAGCTTCCCAGGTTTAAGCTGATCATGGCTCATTTAACTGGCTCCCTTCACACCCTCGTTCTCTTGGGCACTCTGACCTCTCTCACTGTCCTTGAATGATGCCCCCTATGGTGGCTTGAATGAGAAATGTCCCCCATAGGCTCATGTACTTGAACACCTGGTCTCCAGATGGCGGCACTGTTTGGGGAAGTGGAGCCTCTCTGGAGGAAGTACGTCATTGGAGTGGGTGTTGAGGTTTTATACCCTGTCAGAACTTCTTGCTCTTTCTCTCTTCTTCCTATATGAGGATGACATGACTTCCTGTCTGCCACACCAGCCTCACACTCCTGCTTCCATGCCTCCCCTGCCATGATGGACTGCCCTTCTGGACCTGTGAGCCAGAATAAATAAACCCTTTCTCCCTAACTTCCTTTTCGTTAGAGTATTTTATCAGAGTAACAGAAAAGTAACACATCCCCTCTCCTGTGCCCAGCATTCCACAGCTCCATTTGCTGCCCACAATGTCTCTGTGATAAACAGAATAGGGGGTCCTGTCTCTATTTTAAACATGAGGAAACTGAGTCTCACATACATATTAAGTGCCATGGTTGGATCTTGATGGAATTTGATTTGATACAATGCCTGTCTGCAAGTCTCCTCTGTGTATGGGCTCTGTCTGAGGTCCTGTAGGTCTGGAGGAGTTTAGGGTTTCCCAAGCATGTGGTGACATGGAAGTGCTATACTGAAACAGGGACTTGAACTTGGTGCTGACACAACCTGCTGGGGTGGGAGATCAAGACCACCTCTTAGAAGTCATGTTGCTTAAGCTGAGCCTGATGGAGGACAGAAATCAACAGGACCAAGTTGCCAGAGTCAGGTCGTGTCCATGTCATCCCCCCACCCAGCCTCATATTGCTCACAGTGACCTTGAACTCACTCTGAAACAGATGATGTCCTTAAACCTCTGGTTCCCCTGCCTCTACCTCCCAAGTGCTGGGGTGATAGGCTGGCTGGGATTACATCACTACATCTGGCTCTGAGTTCTCATTAAGGCCCATACACATGGGCTTTCTGGTTGGAGAGTCGTTCCCAAACACAGTAGCTTGTTCTGAATTAGACAAAATTTGCTTAGAAAGAAACAGGTATCTACCCATACCTACTGGAAAGAAAAGAAGGACTTTAAAGAATAAAGCTGCAGAGGAGATTTCATGGTAGCCAACAGGCCTTCTGGGAGCTGGGTCTTTGGAGATGGAGGGAGGCTGACTGTCTTTCTGCCACTCCATGTCACCAGGCGCCTCAGCACCATTTTGCCTTGGTCCCGTTGGCCATGTGGCTTGGGCTCCTGCTTCCCTGTGACCTTGGCTTTTCTGTAGCATTCACGCTGACATGGACATTGACATGGAGTGACTTTGCAGGCAGCACTCTACAGCTAGCTGACTCACAGCCTCAGGGTCACAAATGAAAAAACCAACAAGACCAGACATCTGCCTGCTGCATCCAAAGTCCAGCAGTGACTACAGTCCTGCCAGCCATGGCCAGGAAAGAGCAGGGAACACAAAATTTCACCTCTGCCCTTGTGGCATTTCTCAGCTGGGTCCGAGAATTAAATTGACAGGAGATCAGTAGGAGAAAAGCATTTAAATTTCCTTAAAATGACTTTCACATGCAACAAGAGCCCCATAAGGACTTGAAGATCCAAAGATGCAGTTAAAGTTGAACATACATGTAGGTTGGCAAGATGGCTCAGAGGGCAAAGATGCTTGCCACTAAGCCTGATGACCAGAGTTCAATCCCTGAGGGTCACATGGTGGAAGAAAAGAACAAACTCCCACAAGTTGTCCTCTGACCTTCATGCTTGTACCATGGCTTGTGTACACATGCACACACACATACATACATACATATATACATATACACACACTCAAAGAGGCACATGAAATAATTTTAAAAAATTTTTTAAATTTTATTATTTTTATTTTATGTGTATGTATGTATTGCCTGCATGTAAGTAAGTGCACCCGTGTTGTGCAATGCCCACGGAGGTCAGAAGAGGCTGTCAGATCCCCTTTAAAATGAACTTGCATTTTAAAAATTAAGTTTTGAGGAACTGGACAGATGATTCAGTGGTTAAGAGCACTGGTTGCTCTTGCAGAGGACCTAGTGGTCCCAGCACCCACATGGTGGCTAACACCCATCTGTAAGCCCAGTTCCATGGGATATGACACCCTCTTCTGACCTCCTTGGGCATTGCACGATATGGCTACATCTACCTACATGCAGGCATTACATTCATACACATAAAAACAATAAATAAAAAAATTTTTTTTTTAAAGTAGGTTGTGAGCTGGGTGTGGTGGTGCACGCCTGTAGTCCCAGCACTTGTGAGGCAGAGGCAGGTGGATCCCTGTGAGTTCAAGGCCAGCCTGGTCTACATAGTGAGTTCTAGGACAGCTGAGGCTACAGGGAGACCCTGCTTCAAAAAAAGACAAAAAAAAAAAAGTAGGTTGTGAAAAAGTAACTAATGAAAGCATCTAGAAGATGATCATTATTTTATAGGGTCTGTATAGAATTCTCCTGACTTCAACTTCTTATCCTTCAGGTAAAGGCCTTCCCTGTAGTGGGAGCATCTTTACATGGAGATTTCAACTGCTATTTTTAAGAAGCAATCTGAAGCTCAGCTTGATCTTGTTTACACTGCTTTTTGAGTGGCCCTTTTTTCAAACATCTTTAATTCAAAATATTCCGCATGCCAGAGTGGCATAATTTGAAGTGCCGTAGTGTAGTTTTAACTCCTTAAGTCACATGATACTAGAACAGCCAACAACACCCAGACCTTCACCAGAGATATGGGAAAAAAGCCTTCTCAAAGGCTGTGTCCAGGTGCCAGGTTCCCCTAAGCCGGTGTAGACACGCCCCTTGTTTTGGTCTTTGAGTCATGCTGTCTGCGTCTGTTCTGTTTTGCTTGGTGTCGTAACACCCAGTGTCCTTGCTGTGTCCCCACTGGATTTGGAGCTCCTGTGTGGGAAGGACTGTGTCTTCCTCACTTCAGTGCCCCGGGCCTGTGCTTAGCTCCAGGCCTCAGTTGTAGTGAGGAGGTCCCTTCCCCCACAATCCCTCCTCCAGGTGGGATGCCGGCTCTGAAGATGGTCTGCAGCAATGTCCTTTGGACTCATGCACTATTTCTGTTGTCCACAGGCCTCTGGACTTCGTGGGAACTTTCAGTAACCGATGGTCCTATGGAATTGCCTTTGGGGCCACAGCCAATAAGGTCATGTTCTTGTTCTCAGAAGGCTACCAACCCCTGCAGGTCCCGAAGTGGGCCAAAGGTACTGGGGCTGCCTCTCACCTTCTGGGATTGTCGCCATAGAAATGCTTGCTCTCAAAGATTCTGGGCCTTATCTGAGGTCACCTCCCTGAGCTATCTCGTTCTTCCCAGACTGCCACTTGCCCAAGGTCAATGCCTAGCCCACAAAACCTTAAAGCTTGTTTGGGGAGCTTTCGTCCAGCTAAACTTAGAGGTCCTTTTGATAAAGAGTAACAAACGTACAGGACATGGACTTCCTTGCCAGGTGGCCTCCTGAGCCTGTCGCCTTCTGCTGGCAGCAGTTTCTGGGGCTCCTTCTCAAAGAATGACACGTGCTTCTTTGGTCACTGGCCTGAGGCCTCATCCCTCCCCAGGCTCTGTGCTTTACCTAAATTCTGACCCATAGGTTTAATAATCTCTTGTACAATAGTTCCAGAACCTCTGTCCAGCCCAGTCTTCATGTGTGTGTGTATGTGTGCGTATGTGTGTGCGTGTGTGTGTGTGTGTGTGTGTGTGTGTGCATGTGTGATGCTGGGGGTTGAATGGAAGCCTTTACCCAAGTCTGCTGAGAAGTGTTCCACCAGCACACCTTTGGTGTTGTGAGAACGGGTCTCACTATGTCTGGCCTTGAAATTGCTATGCGTCCTAAACTGACTGTACTCTCAATTCTCCTGTCCTGGCTTCCTGGGTGTTGGGATTATAACTGTGTGCCTCCAGTCCTGGCTCTTTACTCTTTGGGGAGATGCAAATTGAAACCAAAATGGTGATCTAGCACTACAGGCCTCTTAGAAGTGTGTACTTGGAGAAACTTTCAAAAGTGTCTGTACCTATGAAGCCATCACCACAATCGAGATCACAAGGCCCCGGAGTTCCCTTCACCTTTCCATCTCTTCTTCCCTGTTGCATCTCCAGGCAACTGCTGACCCAATTATTTTGCACTGTCTAGGATTTTTTTATTTTTTTGGTCTTTTTGAGACAGGGTCTCCCTGTAGCCCCAGCTGTCCTAGAATTCACTATGTAAACCAGGCTGGCCTTGAACTCACAGAGATCAGCCTCCCTCTGCCTCCCAAGTGCTGGGATTAAAGGTGTGTGCCACTACACCCAGCTGTCTGGGATTTTGTACAAATGGAATCGTACAGAATGCCCTTTTGTTTTGGGATGGGGGGGATTCTTTCATCCCGCAGAATTATTTTGAGTTCATGTATAGTTACCATGTATCAGAAGAGTACCCCCTCTGTTACAGAGTCTCCACTTGATTGGTACATCAAGCTTGTCTATCCATTTTCCTGTTGATAGGCACCTGATTTATTTCCCCTTCTTGGCTATCACAAATAAAACTTCCAGGAGCATTTGTGTACAGTCTTTGCATGTGTTCATTCTTCTATCTTTCTTGGATAAATGCCTATGAACAGAACAGCTGAACCCTGTAGATAATAGCATAAATCACAATTTTTAAGAAACTGTCAAACCATTTTCCAAAGACCTTGTACAATTTTTAGATCACTTTATTTCCCCTTCTTGGCTATCACAAATAAAACTTCCAGGAGCATTTGTGTACAGTCTTTGCATGTGTTCATTCTTCTATCTTTCTTGGATAAATGCCTATGAACAGAACAGCTGAACCCTGTAGATAATAGCATAAATCACAATTTTTAAGAAACTGTCAAACCATTTTCCAAAGACCTTGTACAATTTTTAGATCGCTGGCTGGAGACGTGGCTCAGCGGTTAAGAACACTGGTTGTTCTTGCAGAAGACCCGGGTTTGAATGCCAGCACCCACATGGCAGCTAACAACTGTCCATAACTCCAGTTCCAGAGAATCCGACAGTCTCTTCTGTCCTCCATGGGCACTGTATGACACGGGTGCATTTACCTACATGCAGGCAATACACGCATACACATAAAATAAAAAAATAAAAAAAATTTTAGATCGCTAAATCAGTGATTAAAGTTCTACTTTTCCACATCCTTCAGTCTTTGACTGTAGCCATTCTAAGCAGGGTATGGTAGCATTTCCTCCCGGTAATCGCTAGTGATGCCCAGTGTATTGTCCAGCATGTGTCTGCTCTGGTGCATTGCTTCTTTACAGAAGCATCTGTTCATCTGACTTACCTGGTTTCAAAAGCTGGCTTTTTGTTTCTGCACAAAACTAATAGATTTCTTTCTATTTTCTAGGAGTAAGTTCATAAGCGAGCATGTGAATTACAAATATCTTGTCCCAATCAATAGCTTACATTTTTATTCTCCTTTGAGAAGCTGATGCTTTTAGTTTTGATGAACTCAGACTCACTCTTTGGTAGATTATGCTTATGGTGTCATATAAGGAACCCTGACTAAGCTGAGGTCCTATAGAGTTTCTTCTGTTTTTTCAAAAATGTAGCTCGTTTTTAATTAATTAGTAATTAATTTTTATTTTATGTGAATGAATATATAGCTTGCATGTATGTAACTATATCAATGTCACACAGTGCCCACAGAGGTCACAGGAGGGCATTGGATTCCCTGGAACTGGAGTTATGGATGGTTGTTAGCCATCATGTGGGTGCTAGGAACCAAACCCTGGTCCTCTGTAAGTGCAGCCAGTGCTCTTTACTGCTAAGCTCTCTCTCCAGCTCCTGTAGTCTCAAGTTTAATATTTAGAACTATGATGAATTTTGAGTTAGTTTTTGATACATAGTTTTATTTTTTTCTTTCAAAGTTAGTGGCTTCTCTTGTTTTGTTATGTTTGTTTGCTTGTTTGTTTTATGAGACAGGGCCTCAATACGTAACCTAGGCTGGCCTTGAACTCATGATCCTCCTGCCTCAGCCTCCTGAGTGCTAGGCTTGCAGATGTGCACCACCATTTTCTTTTCCCCACCCAGCTGCACAGGACAGATGCTCCAGAGCAGTGCTGAACACAGATGATCAGACCCAGAGTTCTTGTCTTTCCTCATCATAGGAGCAAAGCCTGTCATTTTCACACCACTGATTCTAAATAACTACACTATGATGTGCCTTTCAGCAATTTTCTTATGCTTGGGTTTCATCAAACAGATCTCTGCATCTTAATGTCCTCAAAATTTAGGGAGAAAATATCCATTATTCCTTTAAATCTTTTTCCTCCTCTTCTTCCCATCAGAGGAGCCCAGCCACACATTTATTAAGCCTCTGCTCCACAGTTATCTGATGCTCTACCCCATTTTAAAATTTATTTTTATCATAACATGGTATATAAAGTATATAACATAAATTTTCCATATGAAGTACACAACTAGTGATAGTACCTTCATAGTGTTGAACAGTCGTTACAAGCAGTAGTTTACAAGACCCATCACCCTGAATTCACTCTATCCATTAAATTATCACTTTCTTTTTTCTACCTCCTCCTAGTCCCTGATCCTCTAATCTACATTTTATTTCTATAAACTGGGCTATTGAGACACTCCTTTCAAGTGAAATCATACAATATGTTTCCTTTTGTGTCTGGTTTCTTTCCTTTAGTGTGATATTTTCAAGTCATCATATTGTAGCATGGATCAGAATTAATTCCTTTTCATAGCTGGTTAATACTCCCTTGTATGGATATGCTGCATTTTGCTAACCCATCCATCCGTTCTAGATGATTAGATTGATTTCATTCTTTTGTCTGTTGTGAATAATGTTCCAGTGAACACTGGTGTACAAGTGTCTGAGTCCTTGGTTTATATTCTTTAAAATATTTATTTTTATTTTATGTATATGAGTGTATTGCCTGCATTTATGTAAGTGCACCAGTGTTGTGCAATGCCTGTGGAGGCCAGAAGAGGGCGTCGGATCCCCTGGAACTGGAGTTACAGACAGTTGTTAACCACCATGTAGGTGCTGGGACCTGAACCTGGGTCCTCTGCAAGAGCAGCCAGTGCTCTTAACCACTGAGCCATCTTCCCAGCTCCCCTGGCTTGTATTCTTTTGGGTAGACACCTACAGGTGGGATTGCAGAGTCACATGCTGGCTGAAAGCAATGGAAGCTTGTGCAGAGCTGGCACAGTTTACCACAGTACTGCCTCTTTCCAGTTTCTCCACACTCTAGCCAACGCTTGAAGTGCTTCTCTTCATCCTGATTTGTGTTCGGGCCTACTAGTGCTGAGCATCTTCCATGTTCTTATTAGCCATTTGAAGATCTTCTTTGAAGGGATACCAATTAAGTCCATGTCTATTTTTAACTGGGTTGTCTTTGTCGTCAAGTTGTAGGAGCTCTTTATATATTCTAGATATCAAATCTCTTTTTTATTGCTTGTTTTTTGAGACCAATTTGCACACTGTAGCCACGCTGGCCTGAAACTTGCGATGTAAGCCCAGGCTAGCCTTGAACATTGTTCCCTGCTAGGATTACAGTCATGAATCACTATGTCCAGCTTTAAACCATTTAAACATAAAATCTGCAAAACTTTCTCTTACTCTATAGGAGACCTTTCCTCTTTTATGACAGTTACTTAAAAAAATTTTTTTTAATTTTACTTATTTTTTAAAAATAATTTATTGTTTTAACTTTTACAAAAACTTTAATGAGAATTTCATACATGCATAGAAGGTGTTTTCATCAAATCTGTGCCCACTCCCTCCCCTCCAACATTCCCCCCTCTGAAGAGGTAACACTAAAATCTTTTAAGGATTAGAGGAAAGCTCCCAAATACTTTCGACATTTTTGGCCTTTGGAATGGAGTATGTTGCTAAGAGGCCCAAGGACATTGTGAGTTTTAGCCAAGAAACTGGCTACTTTTCCTTGGGGTCTTTTTACCCTAACTGCCTAGCCAATTCCTACTTCCTATTCTTATTACACCATCCTCTGAAGAGGTTACCCAACTTGCCAATAGGTAATTGGGAAGCAGACTGCCCTGGCTTCTTTCATGCTGAACAGGGACACAGGGTGAGGTAATCGGAGTACCCCTTCAGTGGGTCTATCTAAAAGACTCACAAATTGCATAACTCTTATCTGTAGGGGGAAAAGAAAGTCCTTGACTGGTGAATAGGAGATGTGAAGGAGAAGTAAAGGCAAGAGTAAT